GCCCGGCGTGCGTGCCATGGGGCGGCGTGCCGTGGTCTGGGTAACGCACCGGCTGCGTGGGTCGGGGCAGCTGGGGCAGGGGAGGCTGCGATGGCAGTGCTGGGGGAGCAGCAGCTCTTTCTCCTTTGCTGCCATCTCTGTGCAAGCTCTCCCCTTGCTATGCCTTGGTGGCCGAGGGCATAAAGGCAGGAGGCTGCGGCTGGGCTCCCTTCCAAGCTTGCTCCCAGCAGGGTTAGATGGCAGCACAGCAAAAACCTGCCTGCGCCCCATCCCCATCCGTCTGGGATGTTTCCCCTGGATGAGATGTGAAACCTGGGCTCCCGCCGGGACAGGAGTCCATTGGGATGATGCTCAGGGCTGTGAAGCTGGGGGTGCCGCAGGGGCTGAATCCCCCCCATGCCAGGCAAGCCGGAGCCCCTCGGGAGCAGCTGAAGGCTCTGTCCGGCTCCAGGTGAGCAGGGCTGGCTGGAGAGAGGTTTCTTTTTCAGTATGAGAGAGGGGAGAAGGGGCAGTTCCTGCAGGATTTGGGGGCTGGAAGGGGGTGGCAGGGCCAGGCAAAGTGACTGCCCCAGCTCTGCGGGGCCCTGCCCTGCTCTGCTTTCGACCCAAAGCTCTACCCTGAGCCACTGCTGCTGACAAGTGTTCCCCCATCGTGCACACTTGCAGGAGGAAACTGTCCGTTTTGAAAAATTTGGCCAAAATGTGCTTTTTTGGCTGAGTCAAGGCTTGAGCAGCATGAGGTGCTCCCAGACCATGTGTGGTTCATGCTGTAGCATCTGTCTGCGCGGTTGGGGATGGAGAAGGTGACTCTCATCCCTGGGGACAAGGTCCCCAGTCGGTGGCCAGCCCTCCCTGCCACCGGTCCCGGCTGTCTGGAGACGGAGTGGTGGGGCTGGGAACGCTGGCGTGTCCAGAGGAACTCGCTTTGCTTCTCCCCCAAAAAATCCCTCGGCAGGTTGGGGGTGCCTGCGCTCCCCTCTTGCCCCGGGGCATCGCTTGGGGCGGCTTCAGCCGCCTCCTCTCCCATCCCTGGGTGGGTTTGATGAAGTGGAGCAGAGAATCATCCCCTCTTCACACATGAGAGATCAGAGCGAGCGGGTGTGAGCTGCTGGCCCCGCACTGGAGGGATGGCGAGGAGGAGGAGGAAGGCGGCAGCAGCCCTGGGCGCTGGACCGTGGCGCGGGGGGGAGAGGGCAGCGGGGCGCGGGGGCGGCGGCGGCTGCTGCGGGTGCTGACGTCCCCTCTGTCTCGCAGGCTGCGGCGGGAGCTGAGCTGACTTCGCCGGCAGTCCCTCCCCATCCCGCGGCAAGGCTGTAGCTGGAAAGCACTGGTAAGGCATCTCCGATGGCCTCGCGGAGGGGGGACCAGGCTGCTTTGCTGAATGAACCCACCTGGGAAAAGGGAAACCCTCCCAACCCCCTGGGGGGCTCAGATCTGGGGTACCGGGTGCTCTACAACAGCCGGCCCTTGAGTGGGTGGTAGGGTGGTGGGTGCAAGAGCAAAAGGCAAAACCCTTCCTTCGTCCTTCCCATCCCTTGGTGCTCCCTGTGGTGTTGCCAGCCCGTGGGGGCAGAGCTGAGGCCTCGCAACTCAGCACCGCGGTGGTTTGCGATTTGCCGCTGGTGCTGACCGGCCGGAGCGGAAACCAGGGGAGTTCCTGCAGGCTGCGACGTGCCCGGGGTGCTAATCCCCGCCGCAGGAAAGCTGCCTCCGTACGCCGCCTCGCATCAGTCAGAGGCGAGCACCAGGAATGCTGGCCACACTCCAGCCCACCACCGCCGCCGCGCAAGCCTTGGGAGGGGAAGCCCTGCCGAAAGCCGAGGCACTGGCCGGGATGGGGAGCGGTGCTGAACCCCCCCCATCCCAGCACTGTGGGCTGCAAAAACCATGGGAGCAGGGAAATATCCTGCCAGGCATCGGCTGGGCTGTCCTGGCTGGACACTGGTGGCTCTGAGCATGCCTGCAGCCTGTTACACGTAGAAATACCATATGTTAGACATAAATACAGCGTAGCTGCTGGCGGTGGGTAGTTTTTGCAATCTGGCCGCTGTGATGCTGTCCCACAGCTCCCAGTGATGCTGCTGGGGTGTGCTGGGAGCCGCGGCCAGGCAGTGGGTTCACCCACCTCCTTCTCTGCCCCTTGGCTCCGGGGGGGTTTCGTCACCGGCTGCATGGCCCCTCTTCCCCCGGGGACCTGAGTGCAGAGCACATTCCTGCCGTCATTAATAACTCCTCTGCCAGGCTCTTGCACAACCCCCTTCATCCTCCCAGGAGAATTTGCACCCTTTCCTTGCCGGCTGCCAAGGCAGCGACGTGGGGGCTGCAGGGGATTTCTCAGACCCCCCTCTCGTCCCCGGGGGCATCTGGGGAACGTCCCCCCTGGGGCAGCTGCAGGGCTAAAGCCGCACGGTCACGTTGGCTGAGTTACCTGGGACTTGGAGTGGGGATGGTGTAAGGCTGCCAGTGCCTCTGGGCACGTTTTGGGGTTGCCAGCCTACATTTGCAGTAGCCAAATCGAAACTAGTGCGTGCAGGTGTTCAGGTGTCCTTCCCCAGAGGACCGCAGGCTCGTGCCTCCTCCTCCGTTCCCATCTTCGGCTCCTGCAGCCAAAGCCCCACTGGCTGGATTGGGCCCCGTCAGAGCAGCACATCTCGGTGAGCAGCACAGTCCCAGTACAGCCCTTGCCAAGGAGGGTTAGCACCCAGGCACAAGCTGGGAGCTCGTGATGTGTGTTGGAGAGCTCTCGCTCCCCAAAACCACTGTGCAAGGAGGGGTGAACTTGTGGTCCCTGGCCAGGACCTGCCTGGAAGATGCATGCCCTGTCCCTGCGGGCTAGCAGGTGTGAAGGCGAGGATCCCCCCTGCTTTGGGGACATTGGGGAAGCGCCTGGGGGATCCACTCTCCCTTTTCTGTGCTCTGCTCCTGGCTAATCTCTAGGCATGTTGACTACTTTATACTCTGATTTTTCTCAGCGCGGTGATAAATCAGTTGCTGACCCAGGCCGGCAGCCCCGCGGGGTGTGCTCGGGGATGCCTGTGTCCCCAAAGTGCTGCTGAATCCGCCGCCCCGGCTGGGGTGTTTTCCTGCCTGGGGAAGTGCTGCTTCCAGGGGAAACTCTGAGCAGCTGCACCCCTTGCTCATGGTCGCGTGGGCAGTCACAAGCCGCGCGGTCACAGCCCTGCCGTGCCCCTGCTTTCCTCCCCACGCTGCCGCTGCCATCCCGGGAGCACCAGCGGGTGCCGGAGCCCCGGGCGGAGGTGAGCGAAGGGCTGGCCGGGGGGACGGGGGGTTCGCTTTCCTTAGCGGTGGGGGCTGTTTCTTGTTGTTTCTCAGGTCCTGCTTTCCCCTGCAGTTCTGCTTTAGCGTCTTCTGCCCAAGGCTTTTAAAAGTGCATTTATTTACAGGACAGACCCCCTCCCCTTCGCCACAGGCTCTGCCTCTGGATTGCTATCGGTGACAATTTGCAAGTGCAAAGCTTATATTTGACCCTCCTTTTCTCCGAGGCCCCCAAAGCCCGGCACAGATATGCGCGGGCTGAGTCCCGTGCCAGACAGAGGCGTCGGTCCCTCCCTGTCGCCTGCACACGTAGGAGGAAGGACGGCTCTGCTCCCTGCTGGAGGGGCTGCCATAGCCGTACCCAATCCGAACAGTCAGTTTATTCCGATTCCCAAACCCTGGCAGGGTCTGATCCCACCGGTAGGGTTGCCGCTGAAGCAAACCTGCGTGGAAGTGGGACAGGGGATGCTGCTGGTCATCTGTGCAATTTGGGAGCTGGAAAACAGTAGATGGAAGTTGGGTCTTTTGGGAAATAAGCCCTGATCGTCAAGCAAAGTCCTCACGGTGGGGAGGGGAGCTGGGAGAGGAGCAGAGCTTGTGCCAGGCACCCCTAAACTTCCCCGCAACAGGAGCTGGGGGGCTCTGCCCCACTGAAGCCGGGGCCATGAAGGCTGCTGGAGCTGCCCCATGGCTCTTGTCCTGCTCATGAAGGTTCGGCCCAAGCCCCACTTGAAAGCTGGGTAAGAAAAATGGTCTGTTGGGTGAGGCTGAGCCCTCGGCAAAGCCTCGTGGGCGGCTGCATCCAGGTCCCTCTCCAGTCTGCACCCCGTGGGCAGCGGCTGCCACCTCTGCTCCTTCCCTGCTTGTTTTCATTAGAGATGTTCTCCTCCCGCGTTGTCTCCGCCTCCCTTTTCCCTTCTGCCATGTGTGATGTAGCCTAAATCTAAAACTGCTGGATATCCTGCCATCTTTGGAGACTGCAAATAATTCCCTTCCTTCATTTATATCGTTACCTTGAAGGTATTTATAGAGCATGATCTTGAATGGAAAGGAAGACATGACTATATATAAAGCCAAGATCCCTTGGTCTTTAGCTGCTAACTACCTGGAACTGCTCCTGATTTAAACTTTTCTCCCATTTGCTGCCCGTTTTGAACTTCACAGGAGCATCCTCAGCATTTAAATCCCCATCCTGAGCAAGGAGAGCGACGCAGCTATGGTTCTCCAAACTTCTGCCATCAGAGTAATCCAAACTTGTGAATATTTGTCCGAGTCTTGTCTTCTCCTGTCTGTGCCCTGGTAGAAACCCTCGCATAGGAGGAAATGTGGCCGTATGGAGTGCTGAGCTACACCCCACAGTGGGTGCCTGGCGCTGGGGCATCCGCAGTTGCCCTCCCAAGCACCGGTCCAGGCTCCGTGCTCGGCATCCTCGCTCCGCAATCCCGCGGCTAAACGTGCTTCCCTCTGCTCCCAAAGCGTGCCCTGGCAGCTCCGCTCCCGGCATTTCTCTGGCTGCTGCGGCGAGGCGGGAGGTGGCTCGGTGTTAATGAGGGGCGATGCTATCCCAGGGCAAGGGCAGGATGGACAGACTTTCCGGCAGCTGATGCTTCAAAAGACTCTGAAGGTTGTTTTGTTTCCTAGTGGGCAGGCATCTGTCGCGCAAGCCCTGGGAAGCAGCTTAATAATAATAATAATAATAATAATAATAAAAATAACCCGGGACCATGGGGAGCAGCAAGAGCAAACCCAAAGACCCCAGCCAGCGCCGGCGCAGCCTGGAGCCCACCGAAAACGCCCACCACGGGGGCTACCCGGCTTCGCAGACGCCCAGCAAGGCGGCCGCTCCTGATGCCCATCGCACCCCCAGCCGCTCATTCGGAACCATGGCCGCCGAGTCCAAGCTCTTCGGAGGCTTCAACACCTCCGACACGGTCACCTCGCCGCAGCGTGCCGGAGCGCTGGCTGGTCGGTGTGGGCTGGGGCTCGGCGGGGCAGGGGGGTCCTGCGGGGAGTGGGTTTATCGGTCAGGTCTTCATGGGTTTGGTTCCAGCTTCTTCTTGTGATGATGGCATCTCCTGCTTTTGAGGGACTCTGTCTTTCAGCTGGAGGGGGAGCAGATCTGTGTCTTAGCGGCCGGTGGGGGGATGATGGGAGAGGAGGGTCCCCAGTGAGGGTCGCCCAGCGCTGTGCTGTGGCAGCGCTGGTGGCTGTGCCCATCCTGAATGGTCTCTGTCACAGGTGGAGTCACCACCTTCGTGGCCCTCTATGACTACGAGTCCCGGACTGAAACGGACTTGTCCTTCAAGAAAGGAGAACGCCTGCAAATCGTCAACAACACGTGAGTGTCCCTGTCCCTGCAGCCAAGCCCACGTGGGTGAGCTGCCACCTTCATCCCTCCTGCGGAGCCCCCGAGCCCAGCTCTCCCTGGGGATGGGTGCTCGAGGAGGGATGCTCCGGGTGATCACTGCCGCCCTTGGAGCTGCTCTGCCAAGGCGCACAGGGACACAGTGATGTGTCCAAGGACACCAGCACTGGAGGCGATTATTTGCCTGCCTCCACATCCTCCCGGCCCTGTTGCTGGTCACCGTTGCCTTGCAGCTTTGTCACCAAGCCACCTCCTCTGCTTGCTGGCCAGTCCATGCCCTCCAACGCAGGACTGCATCCCCGCTGGTCCCCCGTCCCCATCAGCGCTCAGCTCCCTCTTGTTTGCCTGGACACATCTCCTTAACTTCATGGGTGCTTTCCCTTGTGCTTGCACCGTGTCTCTGATCTCAGCTTCTCTCGTGACTCTTTTTTCTCTCCTCTGTGCCATGCTGTCATTTAGGAGAAAAGTGGACGTCAGGTGTGTATTGCAGATTATTACTATTGTTATTGTTAATGATCTTAAATGATAAAAGCCCATCTGCTGCCTGTGTTAGGGTGAGGTTGGATGGAGTGGGGCTGGGGGGAGAGTGTTGCCCAATGGTTTTACAGTTGGTTGGGTTTGTCCTCGCTGAGCGACCAGGGCAGAGCAGGGAGCCCCTTCCATGCCGAGGAACTGCTCCATCCAGAGCTGTGTCTGCACCCAGGAGCTCTGAACCTGGCCCACTTTCCTTGTCTGTGCCTGGCACCCCTCTGCAGTCCCTTTGCAGTTGGCTCTCTTGCTCCCTCCTGGCCTTTTTTGCATTTATTTTTGCATTATTTAAATTTTATTTATATTTTTTGTGAGTGGCTCAGGAGACTCAAGGATTTCCTTAGGGGTCTGGCTCTTGCTTGTTTGCTCTCCATCCTGGTCGTAGCAGCACACTCATCGCTTGCCACGTGGAGCAGGACAGCATGATGAGCTGGAAGATGCTCCTAAACACGATCCTGTGTTAAACCCATGTGTGGTCTGTCCTGACACACAGCACGCATGGTCTGCAGCATCCTTCGGCTGCGCGCTGGAGGCCCTGCTGGCAGAGCCACTGCCCTAGCGCTGCCGTGGGCTCCCTGGGCTCCGCAGCTCCCGCTGGCCCCTCCGCTGCTGCCTTCCAACCTGGGCACCCAAAACAGCTCTGCGAAGGCAAAGGGTGGAAAGACGAGGGAACGTCCCAGGGCCGATATTTCTCCTGCAATGGTCAGGCAGTGTTGCACAAACACATTTTCAATCTGATCCTTGTTCTGCTTCTTCCAACACTGTTTATTAATGGTGATTCGTTTAATCCATGAAGTACAGGATGTGCAGGGCTTCAACACTGCAGGAAAAGCCTGAATTTGTGGGGTTTGGTGCTTCTTGCTTTCACAGCCTCAGCAGCGTACTAGCCCCAGGCTTGGGTTCTGGTTTGGGCTGTTATGAAATGAGCTCTGCCCATTGGGGGTCCAGATTGGGCCCATATGTGAGGGTTTTTTCTTTATGCCTTATATCACTTCTGGGGTTCCCATACTTTTTTTCCTCTGCTGCTGTTTGTCAAAGGCTTGGTCAGAGGGAAGGGTCCGTGTGTGATGGGCTCTGCAGCATCCTGGGGGGCAAAAGGGCTTTTTTCAGCAATGCAGCCCATCGGTGGAGGGTGCAGGATCGAGCTGCCAGCCTTCCCAGTGTCTGCTGCGGCTGCGTGGTGGGATGTCCAGAGGGAGAGAGGCGGTGGAGAAAGCTGTGCAGTGCTCTGGTGGGGTAAATCTCTCTTCTCACTGAGTGCCCAGAGTGCTCGGAGGGTCTGGGAGCAGCTCGGGCTGCTGCGCTTTGGGGACAGCAAAAGGCAGGCGTGCGATGTCCCCCCTCCCTGGGAGGGCACAGTCGGTGCCCTGGGGCTGTGGGGAGGGTGCTTGGGTCAGCCCGGGAAGGGCTGGCAGGTCCTGGGTGCAGCAGGAGCCCACGGCCATGGGGCCAACTGGCCACCAGCGGCTTTGCAGGGTGGCTGCAGGTTTTGGCTGCTCTAACGGGGCTGAGGTTGCGCAGGGCGAGAGGAGAAGCCTCCACATCGCTCACCTCCCTGCTCCTGCGTCCCAGCAAAGCCCTGGCTGTCTGCAGTGACCCTCAGTCTCCCAGATGGGTCAAATCCATCCACCCCAGTGTGGAAGGGCTCTTGTGGTACCATTTCTGGCACAGGCTGCCCAGGGAAGTGGTTGAGTCTCCATCCCTGGAGGTATTTAAAAGCTGGGTAGACGTGGTGCTTGAGGACATGGTTTAGTGGTGGACTGGGCAGGGCTGGGTTAACGGTTGGACTCGACGATCTTAAGGGTCTTTTCCAACCTTAACGATTCTGTGATTCCATGATTTCCAGTGGGAGAAGGTCTCTTCCTGCCAGCTGGCAGCCAGCAGGGATGTGGTATTTTGGGTAAGATTGTGCAGGGAATTGTTGAAATGCTTTGTTTTGATGATGATTATTATTATTATTTTTTTCCCCGCGGAGGCATTTTTGGAATAGTTTGTTTTTGCCGAATTCCCAGCTTGCAGCCTTGCAGCCTAAGCTGGAATAAAGCCACAAGTCAAAAGCTGGGCATTTCTCAAGCAGATGTTTTCTCCGGTCCCGTGGGAAAGGAGCCCAGCCAGCCTCCTGTCCCCTTCAGAGCCACCCCAGTAAAGGTGACTGGGGCAGCAGCTCCAGCTGGGGAGCCCAAGTTAACCTGCCACAAGATGTGCTGGGACCGAGAGAAGTTAAAATACCGGCTGGGGCTGCTGTGAGGCTGGGGAGGGGCTCTGGGTGGGCAGCAGAGCCTGGCTGCGTGGTTGGGAGGAGATGCCCTGAGGGTCCCCGCTTTCCCCCGCCCTGCTGGCACCAGCACAGGGAGCCAGGGGCCACGTCCAGCTTCTCCCGGCTGCTTCAAAGCATCACTGGTTTGGCTGGGACAAGCAAAAGTCACAAGCTGCTGGTGTGTCTGGAGTGAGGATGGAGGTTTACACGTCTGCAGGGGTCAGGGATGGGTCTGGATGTGGTCTGATGTGATCTTTAGGGGTGATTGAGGTTATTAAGGTTTTTTTGTAAAGTGTTTGTGGAGGTCATCCTGCCAAGTTCTTGCATCCTTGCGATGCTGTTCCCACGAATCTGCAGTTTTCCCATAGCCTCGTCTCCCTCATGGTCAGGATAAATTAGGGGACTCCATCTTTGATGGGCGAGAAGATGCAGGTGGTGGGAGGAAGCCCTGCTGTCTGCAGGGAAGGGGAAGCCACCTCCCGCCGTCCTGTTGTTCTTCTCTATTTACTGTCCTTTCTTGCCCTGTCCCGTGCAGGAGCCTGCGGGGAGGAGGGCAGAGCCGTGAGAAGGTTCCTGCGCCCTGCCAGCTCCTGGGGACGTGCTTGAGGCTGCCATGCCCAGGGCAGGAGGGATGGTGGGTCAGCCCTGGGGTTTTGGGGATGGCACAGGGGCTCCCGCAGGGCAGAGCCATGCTCGGGTCGTGGGGCCAGCACAGTGGGTGCGTGTTGCTCCGTGCGAGCCTCGCTCGTGGTCGTGCAGGCGCAGCGGGAAGCTTGCAGTCAGGGGCTGCAGCCGTGCAACCTGCCCATCCTGGGGCTGCAACCGGGGCACCCGAGCTGGACGGAGCCCGCTGCGTCCAGGCTGGGCATCACCATGGGGCAGGTCTCACCCCGCCCTGCCCAAACCTCAGCCCCGTCCTGTTGCTTTTCTGCAGCCTGTGTTTAACAAACTCTCTTGGGTTTTCCTGGTGCTTTTTTTAATCACTGCCATCATTCTGTTGCTTGTCCCCATTTCCCCTCCTTCCCCCTTGCCTGTCCCTCCCCGCTGCCTTGAATCCCCAATGCCCCTCAACCTCCAGCCAGACCCTGTTCACATTCAGGTGGCTCCGAAGGTACTTTGGCTCGCTGGCTGCCCTGCCCGATTTAAGTTTAAAGCCTCCCCTATGCAGATGGGTAGCCCCAATACCGAGAGCTTGCCCAAACAGAGCCACAGGCAGGGGCTGGCAGCAGGAGCCCTCCTGGCTGGGGTCCGGCTGCGGGGCTGGGGGCTGCGGGGGCTGCACCCCTTCCCAGCGGGGCTCTGCGCTGGCTCCCCCCCGCGGCCCGTGGCACCTGCAGGCGGGAGAGGGGCCGGCCGGGGGGCTCCTGGCTTCACACTGAGTGTGTTTTGGTTCTCTTGCAGGGAAGGTGACTGGTGGCTGGCTCATTCCCTCACTACAGGACAGACGGGCTACATCCCCAGTAACTATGTTGCGCCCTCAGACTCCATCCAGGCTGAAGAGTAATTGCCATCTTTTAGACAGTTTAAAGACAAGCGATAGCAGACCCCGAGCGCTCCTCCCTCCCCCTGCCCCTCTCCTGGGCAAAGCCTGCAAAAGGCCTCCGGGTTTTTCCTTTTTGTTATTTTCCCCTTTTGAATTTGCAAACCCCTTAAATGTTTTCCAGCCTTTCTTTAAGGCCCACAAAGTGCAGAGGTGCGGCATGCTTGCGCGGTGGAGGGATGAGCAGTGGCGTAGCAGGGGCCGTGGTGGACCTGATGCTTTTGGTCTGGTTTTTAACTCTTCCGCATGGACACGCATCCCTGTGTGAGGATGCTGCCGGCACTGCCTGTGCGGGTCAGGCTCAGCGCAGAGGCGACCAGCACACGGGGAGAGCAGGCAAGGGCAAAGCCGGCTGTAAGTCTCAGAGCAGGAGGTGCCAGCTACGTCCCTGCCGCCCGACCCCACCCAGCGGCACGGCATCCCCCCCCAGCAAGAGCTTGGGGGGCTTCAGGGGTCCCTGGAGCCCCTCATTTAGGGAGGCTCTTGGAGTGAAGGCGTTTTGTGGTCCGTGGTGCTCCTGGGGTGATGCCCAGCCTGGGCTGTATGGGAGCGCGGTGCACCCCAGGGTGCCCAAGCCTGGAGACACAGCCCGTGGTCTCCGAAACCTGCAGCGGGGGGGCCGGGGCTGAGCCTGCTGCTTGGACAGGCAATGGAGGGGTGGGTGAGTGCCAGGCGCTGAGCCACTGCCTTGCTCTTGCAGGTGGTATTTTGGGAAGATCACTCGTCGGGAGTCAGAGCGGCTGCTGCTCAACCCTGAAAACCCCCGAGGGACCTTCCTGGTCCGGGAGAGCGAGACCACGAAAGGTGAGCGGGGCCGCACGGTCCCAGTTCCCCCAGCTTAGGCACACGGGGAGGGAGAAGGAGAAAAGAGTCGTACCTTGTAGACCGGAGCTGGTGTTCGGGGTCACTGAGCAATGCCCCTCAGCACAGGCAGCCTCCTGGGGTCTCCCCTGCCGGTGCTGGTCCCCAAGGAGCAGGTGCTGACGCACCCGTTAAATCACCGGTGACGTCTCTGTGCCAAATGCACCACTACACCAACAAGCCTCCCGCCCCATGGAGAGACGCGGCCACTTCTCTCCGGTGCTGCCTGCCCAGTGGTCGCCCTTCAAAGAGGTGGTTCAGCTCATGGCAGGGTGGGAGCCAGGTGCCCCGCCGGCTCTGGCAGGACCACCAGGCAGGATGCTCTTTCTGCCTGGTTTGGTTTTTTTTTTTTTACACCCCCACATTAGGAGTGTTTTATTTTTTTCTCGTCCCTATATAGCGGCAAAATCTTGAACATGTGCTTCTTGGGCAACCAGGTAGAGCTAGTGACGAATCTTTAGGTCCTTCTTTCAAGTCTAACAACTCCTTATGCTTGTTTTGTGCCTCCCAAAAGTGCAAGCTGTGATATTCATGGCTTGGCTGCCTGAGGATGCTGTTTCTTACCTGGAAATGTGGTTTAGTTTGGCTCCAAATGCACCTTTGGGAAAAGCTCCTTCATTTTCCTTTCTGTTTTGATGCCTTGAACTTGTGACTATTTATTTTATTCTGGTGGAAACAGCTCATTCAAGCAGTGGCATTTCCTTTCTGTTATTTGTGGCCCCAGCAGCACAGTGTTGCTCTCGTGCGGGCAGAGCAGAACAAGCTCCCAAAATGATGCCCACGGTGGGATTTGTGGAGGAGGGGACTGGGCTCAACAGCCCCTTGGCTCCCCTCTGAGATGCCAAGATGTTGGGGTTGTGGGTTGTGGGTCAGCAGCTCCCCGCAGCCTGCCTCCCATCTGGTCCTCTCCTCTGCTTCAGTGTCCCCTCTTTGCCATCGGAGCCGTGTTCATCCCTGTGCCCCGGGGGCTGCTCGCCCTCCCGCCCGCTGGTCCCCCCCAAACCCAGTGGGGTCTCTTCCTCAGTGCCAGCCTGGGGGGCACGGTCCATCCCTGCGGTGCTGGCTCCTCTGAGCCACGGTGGCTCCTGCGTGTCCTGGCCAAGAGCAGCGTTCGTTGTGGAGGAGGCAGCAGCAGTGCTGTGCGCCACGTGTTGCCGGAGAGAAGGACCCGGCAGGGCTGTATGGGGCTGGAGGGGGTGATGCCCCTTCTTAGCACATCCCGCAGGGATGCTGAGCCAGTTCTCGGCTGCTGGGGCTGGAGGAGCAGCAGGGATCACCTCTGCCCAGATGACTGACCCGACAGCCGCCTCCACGCCAGCCTGGCTGGTGGCAAGCCTTGGCAGAGCTGCCATGCAAGTGGGGACAGCTGGAGGCTGTGATTATGTGGCGTGGCTGTAGCTGGGGAGTACATGCCACCCCTCCCTGGCACGAGGTGCCAGCTCATGCAGCCAGGAGCTGCTCCCCATCCTCTGCTTTTGGGTGAAAGCAGCAGCCTGCATGCCCAGTCCCGCTCCCCCACGTCCACCCCCCCCAGCGGGACCCCATGGGGAGCACCCGTCTGCGGCACATCTCCCCCTCAGCCCCTCGGTCCTGCCCACAGGTGCCTACTGCCTCTCCGTCTCCGACTTCGACAACGCCAAGGGGCTCAACGTGAAGCACTACAAGATCCGCAAGCTGGACAGTGGCGGCTTCTACATCCCCTCCCGCACTCAGTTCAGCAGCCTGCAGCAGCTGGTGGCCTATTACTCCAGTGGGTAGCCAGTTGGGGTCCCCTTGGGGTCTGGGTGACACCCCGGGTGCTGTGCCTGCCCTCGCTGCAGGACGGGTGCTGCTGGGAAGCCAGTGCAGGGCTGGGGGACCCCAAACCAGCTAGGGGGGAACCCTGGTGAAAAGCTGCTTGGGTTTTGGGGAAGAGGGTGAGGGTTTGGCTGCGGGTCCTCGAGGTGTTTTGTGGGAAAGATGTGGGGTAAAGACATCACAAGCCTCGATGCCCAAGTGTCACCCTGGTGTTGTCCCCTCCTCTGCTAGAACATGCCGACGGCTTGTGCCACCGTCTCACCAACGTCTGCCCCACTTCCAAGCCCCAGACCCAAGGCCTCGCCAAAGATGCCTGGGAAATCCCCCGGGAATCGCTGCGGCTGGAGGTCAAGCTGGGGCAGGGCTGCTTCGGAGAGGTGTGGATGGGTAAGGACCGCTCCCACCCCACTGTCCCCCCTGTGTCACCAGCTGCATCCATTCCCCAGCCATCTGCGGGTGCCCAGAGCCTGCAGTGGGCTGCGGGAGCAGGCAAGGGACACAGCCCCCTGCCCTGTAAATGTGTCCTGAGCGGCGTGTCCTGTGCCGCAGGGACCTGGAACGGCACCACCCGGGTGGCAATCAAGACGCTGAAGCCCGGCACCATGTCCCCGGAGGCCTTCCTGCAGGAAGCCCAGGTCATGAAGAAGCTCCGGCACGAGAAGCTGGTTCAGCTTTACGCTGTGGTTTCGGAGGAGCCCATTTACATCGTCACTGAGTACATGAGCAAGGGTGAGCGCAGGAGGGATGCTGGGGGGACGGCCGAGGGGCTCTGCTCCCCCAGATCGCCGTGACTGTGGTCTTCCTCGCAGGAAGCCTCCTGGACTTCCTGAAGGGCGAGATGGGCAAGTACCTGCGGCTGCCGCAGCTCGTGGATATGGCGGCTCAGGTGGGTTTGCTCATCCCCAGGCCTCCCGCATCCCTCTCCAAGGGCACTGGCTGCCCATGGACCTTTCTGGGCTGTCGTGGCTGTCGCTGTTGGGTGGTGGGGTGCTCCGCAGCCTCGCTCAGCTCGGGTTGGGTGCCGCCATCCCTGCTGGGTGCTCAGCCCAGAGCTGGGTTGCAGACAGGGACCATCATTTTGCCTGTTCCCGTTGCTGCCGGCTCTCCCTGGCCAGCAAACCTGTGTCTGTGTGGGTTTTCTTGAGGAACCAACTGCTACTGCACCCCAGGTTGGGTCCCTCTGCGGAGCTGTTCCCCTCGGCAGTGCCAGGCACTCCCTGGGGACCCTTGTGTCACCCTGCCAGCCCTGGTGCTCCATGTCCTGATCCCCACAGATCGCGTCTGGCATGGCCTATGTGGAGAGGATGAACTACGTCCACCGGGACCTCCGGGCAGCCAACATCCTCGTGGGGGAGAACCTGGTGTGCAAAGTGGCTGACTTTGGCTTGGCACGGCTCATCGAGGACAATGAGTACACCGCTCGGCAAGGTGCGTGCCCGGGGCTGCCGGCACCGTGCCCAGGCAGGTGGCACTGGAGCAATGGCCACTCTGTGGTCGCCAGTCCCCAGGGGTGTGTGTTGCATCTCAAGCCAGCACGTGGCCCTGCCTGCGCGGGGGTCCTGGAAGCACTCGCAGCCCGTGTGTCCTTGGGCACCATGGGGCTGGGAGCAGCCCCTCATCCTGCCTCTCCATCCAGGCGCAAAGTTCCCCATCAAGTGGACAGCCCCCGAAGCTGCTCTGTATGGCAGGTTTACCATCAAGTCAGACGTCTGGTCCTTCGGCATCCTCTTGACCGAGCTGACCACCAAGGGCAGAGTGCCATACCCAGGTGAGGGCTGGCACCCGCCGGCAGAAATCCCGTCCCCGTTGTGGTGCCCCGAGGCCAGCTGCCCTCACCCAGCGCTCGCCCCTGGTGCTCCATGGCCCCCCAGAGCCATCTTTGCAGAGGAGCAAACTGATGAAAAGTTTCTCCTGCGATTTGGGCAGGGAGGGCGGGCTCGGGGGTGAGCTGCCCCTGCCCAGGTTGGATCCTGCCCTGCTGGGGCAGGGCCAGCAGAGCCCGGCCAGGATGCAGGGTCACAGCTGCCCCGTCCCGCTCTGGTCTCCGAGCAAGGTGACAGGCTGGTGGGGACAAGCACTGTTGGCTGGGGGTCCCTCTTTCACTGGGTCAAGTCACCGGGTTGCCTGTAAGGCTTGTCCCAGTGCAATGCCCTCGGTGTCCCCTCTGGGAAAGGTGTGATGCAGGATCTGGCCCGTCTCTCACTCAGCACAATGTCTCTGGCCGCACGCAGGGATGGTGAACCGGGAGGTGCTGGACCAGGTGGAGCGGGGGTACCGCATGCCCTGCCCCCCCGAGTGCCCTGAGTCCCTGCACGACCTCATGTGCCAGTGCTGGCGGAAGGACCCGGAGGAGCGACCCACCTTCGAGTACCTGCAGGCTTTCCTGGAGGACTACTTCACCTCAACAGAGCCCCAGTACCAGCCTGGCGAGAACCTATAGACCCGGAGCTCCTCCTGGCACCAGGGACGCTGCTGTCCTCGCTGCGGGGCGCTGAGGGCTGGCCTCCCCGACGAGGGGCCGGTTTTTTGTGGAGCAACCCTGGAGCGGGACGGGGCATTATCTCCAGATGCAGCCAGGGGAAGCGCTGGGTTCCCCCATCGCTCATTAAGACTTCTGGCCCATGTTTAACAAAGCAGCACCGTCCTGCTGGCGAGAGGAGCCTGTGGGTGCCGGTGGAGCCAGCTCGGGAGGGTGAGCAGAGCATCTTCCACCGAGAGACTTGGCTTTCGGGAGACCTTTCCCCCCCAGCAGCTCTGGGGTGAGCCCAGAGGAACTGGGGGACAGCATCACCTCACCTCGGACACATGGCCCCGGTCTCCTGCACCCCCTTTCTAAATCAGCACAAATTTCCCTGCCCCTTAGCCCTCCCCGCCATCCCCCCCTTGGCTCCAGTTCTCCCAAGGCCGCTGGCAGAGACGTTTCGCCGCGGGGAAGGCACGATCCCTGGCTGGTTCGGATGGAGCGATGTGCCGGGGCGGTGGTGCTGGCATGGGGTGGCAGTGGAACGCTGGTGGTCCCCCTTCCTCTGGCGTCCCTCCAGCCTCGCCAGCTACCAGATGCTGGGAGTGTGAAATGTGGCTGCTCATGGCTCCAGTGACCGACACCATCCCATGGGAGCACCCGGGCACACGTTCGAGTCTTCCAGCTGCGTCTGTCCCCCCAAGGGACCCATCCTGTCTCTCCTGGGAGCAGCACCAGGGCTGTGCCGGCAGAGCCCTCGCCCTGCCTGCGGCCAGCCCCGCTGCCCCACCTGCGCTTCCTCCCACCGAGCACTCCTGGTCCTCCAGCCAGCCCCCCGGGAAGCGCACCACAGCCCCCCGGCCGCCCTCCCCGGCTCTGCCACCAGCTCTCCCACCGGCAGAGTCCCCCCCCGGATGGCCCTGCCACCAAATCCAGTGCCACCGCAGGGGCTGGGTGCATGGCACGTGTGGCTGTTCAGGCTGTGGGAGTGTTTTGGGGAAATATTCATCTTTCAAGATGTTTTTGTCCACCCAGTACGTTTTTAGCTGCCTTCCCCCACCCGTCATGTCTCAGCTGCCGGGCTGCAGTCCCCATGCAGTGGGAGCATCCCTAGCCATGGGCCACCATCCTGGAGGAGAGTCCTGAGAAGCACTGTGCTGCATGGGGGACAGTGGTATCTTCATCTCCCCCCTGCTTGCACCCGAAGGCCTCAGCCGTGTTTTGGCAGTGGGTGGCTATCCGCGGGGCCGAACCCTGGGGCTCGCGGGGCAGCACCCGGCCCCTGTGCTCTCCCACCCAGCTTGTACATAGCCCTCGAGCGGTCCCCACGCCCTCCCAAATGTTGGCTTTGTTGCATGTGTTGTTTTTTTCTCCCTCCTGTGGCTGTACCCAGCTGGAAACCCTTCTCCATGGTGGCTCGTGAAGCTTCACTCCCTCACCTCTCGGGTCCCGGGCACCCTCGCTCAGAAAGACCTGGGGGCTCTTCGGGTGCTCTCCTGGACCGGGGCTGGGATGGGAGCTCCAGGGGGTGCTGCGGGGCAGGGGTGCTGCAGGGCAGGGGTGCTGGCACATACTGGTGGGAAGGACCCGGAGAGGGGAGCCAGCGGCTTTGCCTGCCTCTCGGTCCTCGGGCAATAGGCTTTCTTTGCCTCCCCATCACTGGTGGGATGGGGTTTCCCTCCGGCGCAGCCTCCTTGCAGGCAGCAGACCCAAACAGCCTCTTGCCAGCCCCTGCCGCGGTGCTGGTGTCCCGTGAAAGCAGGGTGGGAGGCGAGCGTGGGCAGGGGGGTGGCCAAAACCCCCTCCCCAAACCTCTGCCGGAGCAGGGCCGAGGCACACCACTGCCTCTCACTTGGTCCCACAGCTCCAGGCTGATTATTTGTGAACCAAGTGGTCGCTTGGTTCGTTGGTGGCTCCTTTTTAATGAGTAAAATCTTCAAAGTCAGCTTGAATGGGCTCTTCAGCAGCGTGGAGAGATCCTGCTGGCTTGGAGAACAGCAAACAGTTTAATGGGGTTTTTTTAAATCATTTTGGGACTCGGAGCCTTTTCTCCCCCCCTGCCTAGTGGATTTGCTGTGCCTGCATTTCTGCGTTAGGGCAGGGACTCCTCAAACCTCAATGTTTTGGGTCTTTCCATGTTTGCGTCCCTGCGACGGGTGGTTGCCACGTCCCCGTTGGCACTGTCAGAGAAGCCCCGTCCCGCGGCAGCCAGTCCAAGGGGTGGCCTGTGCCATAGCTCTGCCTAAATTATACAAAATCCCCATCCTGGGAGAAACCTCTTAAACCTGTAACGTGCGGAAGCCAGATCTGATCTGAAAGCTGGGGAGAGAGAAGGCACGAGCACATGTTCAGGTTTGGCCTTTGGTTGTCTGCAGCACGCGCAGGGTCTTGCACGAGCACAGCGGGACGGGAACGGGCTTAACCCGGCGGTTTCATTTTCTGGCTCTTTCCAGCAAGCGGCAGAGCAGGAACGCGCCCTCGGCTCAAGGAACACCCTGGGCTGGCTTAATTCCCCGTGGCTTTTGGCAAGCTCTGACAAAGAAGACAGTACAGCAATCCTGGAGGAGCCCCCCTGCACATGCGTGTCTATGTGTCCGTGTGTCTGTCAGTGTGTTCACCCAGCGGTTTCGGTGGGACCCAGCATCTCCGGACTTGCCGCTGCAGCCGGCACGACCCGGAGGCCCCGCGGATGAGCGCGAGCCTCTCCTCTATCACTATTGTCGTCTGCCAATTTATTTTTTAAGCCAATGAATTCTATAGAGGGGAACCCCCACCTACGGATGCTCTTTGGCTTCCCGGGGTCAATAATGACCTACAAGTCACGCTCCTCTGCTGTTACCATTTTTTTAAACAGTGTTTTGTAAGATCTCCAGCCGACTATGCAGAGAACATGTGGATCTGTCTCTCTCTCCCTCTCTCCCCAGCTCCCCTTTCCCCCCACCTGCCTTTTTCAGTGTCGAAGTAAAATATTTAGGGGTTTTTTTTTTTTGGATAATAATAAAACTTTGGAAAAAAGCCTGAAAAGGTCCAGCTTTGTGGGTGGTGGGGGGTGGAGATGCTTTGAAACTCTAATGTTGATGTAAATACTTTGCAATTTGATAATTAAATACAAACAGACCTCACAAAAAAAGCGTAGCTCATGTATGAGAAGACTTCTTAGCATCCCTGTCACAGGAGTCGGTGGTTCCTGGAGCACGTGCAGCACCCATGTGTGGCTCCTGGTGCTTCAGAGGCTTTTTCTGCCCAATGCTTCTGGGATCTGGTGCCACTTCTGTGCTGCTGGGGCCATTCCCAGCGCAGCCCCAGCGCCTGCTCCTGCAAGAGGAGCCTCGTCCATCACGTCCCTCCTGCTCCGAGGGCTGGGGACAGGCGGCTGGCGGTGACGGGTGAGCTCCCCATGCCCGGAGCGCTCCGGCGGGGAAGCGCTGCCATGGTGGGCACAGAATCAGGCCAACGTGCTCCGGGCTGAGCTGGGGTGCAGCCTGCGTTGCTGCTGGGATCCCCACTGCAGCCATCCAGGCCAAGCAGAGGGCTGTGGCACACGCCGCCGGCACGCAGCGTTAGCCATGACGGACCCCATGGCCCCTCTGCTGTGTCCATCGCTGCTTCCCAGCCTCTGCATTCTGGGACACCCCAGTAGGGAGCACTGGCCCCTGCGGGGCTGTGAGTGACACGGTGACCCAGACACGTTGATCGGGCCAAAGCCAGGGCCGGCGGAGCTGCCCCAAGCCCAGCAGGCAGGAGACCTGGCTGCCAACCCCCGCCGGCTGGGCTAGGGGGGACAGGACGGCGGACAGCCCTCCCTCCAGCAGATTCTGCTTTGTCAGCAGCTATAAGAAGCAGACCTGCTTTGTTAGGATAATTAGTGGGTGCTGATTGGGATCCCTCACTCGGTGATTAAGTCATTGATATATAGCACGGTGCTGGGGGGAATAGGCCCTCTCAAAGCAGGATGGTGGCTGCCCTTCTTCCTCCTCCTCCTCCTCCTTCTTCACCACCACTGCTATGGTCTGGGGTAGCTTTAATGCCCTGAGCCCCTGGGTCTGGCTGCTCCTTCCTCCTTGGGCTGGTAAGTGACTCAGGCTTATCACCTTAAATGTTTAATGCTGGATGGTTTGCTTCTCTTTAAAGCAATTAAGTGATTGAGGGATTATCTTTTGTTGGAAGTGTCCCTTGGTCCGTGTGTGATGCATGGGCTGGGGATGGGTTGGTGCAGTCACCCCTGGGAGGGGAGCTGGGGCTGAGGCTCCCCTAGTCCTCAGCATTGCCGCTCAGGAGCGGGGTGGCCACAGGGCGGGCGTGAGGAGGAGGAGGCTGGGGTGCTGTGGGGAGGTTGCTCTGTGTCTGGTCATCAGCCTCGGTGGCAGCTGAAGCACCTTGAAAAGACAGTCAGGGCAGTTGGCAGGACCTGCGGCCCACCCTGGCCATGCTCGGTGGCCGTTTTGGCACGGAGTCCCCCCCCTTGGTGACACCCCTCTCGACTCGCAGGTCCTTTGCGGAGGCCAGCCCTGTGATTGGGGTGGGAACGGGGTGATGTTAGCCTGGAGGGGGCAGAGGTTGCTGGGCCAGGAGGTGTGAGATGTGAATCACTGCTGGGGTCCACTCTTGCCGGGCATCCCCAGCCTGAGCCAGGCAGGTGCACCTGGGGATTACACCACCTGCCTCCTTTAACGGACTTAATCTTGCTGTTTGCTTCATGCTTGTGTTCGCCCTGTAAGCCAGGGAGAGGATTTGGGTGTTAGGGTGGGGGCTGTGGCTGCTCCCACAAGTCTGGCGAGGAGGTGGGGGGGTCTTGTGCGGGGCAGTTTGTGCTGGCAGTGGGTTTCTGAAATGGCAAGGATGAGTTGTTTGGCCTGAACATGCCCTTCCCTTTCCCCAAAGCTCAGTGGTAGCACCCTCAAAGCACAGTGAGTCCTGGCTCCTGATCCAGGCTCCCAGAGAATAAAGGGGGGAAAATGCTTGTAAGCATGTGGGGGGCA